GTTTAAATTTACAGACATCCTTGATCAGCCAAAGATCTTGTGACTCGCTGAAGCAACACCTTGAGTTTTTGAGCGGAGGTTTTACTTACTCGTTCCCTGAAATGAAGGCAAGAATTAGCCGAAAGATCACTGAACTTACCGATGAAAGCAGCACCAAACAGGCGTAGGTAGAGGACCCTCGTCAGAGTCGGAAGTCTTCGGCGAATATTTTAACAACCTGCAAACTTCATGTAAGCTGCATCGTGAAAAAAGCGTGGTTCTCAGTTTTATATGTTTGGTTGTCGTAGCCTGGCATGAACGAGTGGTTTTCAGGAAGTTATAACATGAAACAAGCTTCGGATGAGAGCAGACACATGAGAAAAAATTTTTTTCTTTTTTTTGTTTCTCTTCTTAAAACTCTTTTTACTATGAAAAGTTCCTTCTGTATGTCTTCGTTATTAGTGCATATTGTATGCCATGTTTTCCCAACTATTATTTCTACTCTCGCATGCAAAGGTGAAAGAGTGAAAGCGAACCTGTTTAGGGCTTGTGGACAGCTTCGTGAAACTATCGCGGTATGGTCTCTCCCCCAAGGCGCCCTGGCTAGCTTAGTGAAAACCCGTCGTAATCATTTGCTGTCTCGTTTCGGGAGCGAATCTGAGCGATGCACTAATACACTGAGCAGCGAGAGTAAGCATGCAAGCAGATGACAAGAGCGGGCTCCATGCTTCTCACAACTCCTGCTCTGGCGTGGCAGTTCAGTCGTGGTTCTGTTAGTGGCGCTGTCACGATGTTCGTCGCCACTCCGGGGGGTGACACAATAGCGGTACGGAAAGGAGCCTAGTTTACCCTCCTGTTTATTCTTCCTCCATGCTTGGGGTAGACCAAAACTAGAATGGACGGGCAAGAGGGTTTGAAGATTATAACTGTCTGGTCATGACATGATTAATGTGGAAATTTCGTAGCGTATAATGCCAAAATCTTTCCTCCAAACATGTGCGGCGCATACCCATATACCATGGGTCGTGGTGTGCCGAGGTTGCACCGCAGATGTTTGACAGTTTATATCTTTTGAGGAATGGCGAGAACATGTCTTGGTAATTTAAATGTCAGAGCGTTCCAAAAACCCGACACTGACGGCGTTGACTTGCCAAACTAAAAGAATAAATGTTGTGATCGCAGCAGGAATCGAACCCAAGCATTCTGCATGGCAATCAAGAGCCATGCCAGGTTTAAAAGCTGTATTTGAAAAGGACTTTATTTATGCAGGTTTAATGCCGGTGCAATTTCTATTGTGGTTACAGTGCTGCACGCCCAATTAGATAAACATTGCATATGCACTCTAATGATAAGAGCATCATTTTGGGTTAACGTCTATATTAGTTAAGTGCCATCCATTGAAATTGGTCAATGTAGCGCTATCTAGGGCTACCATCTTTACACGCACAAGCGCTACATTTGCGTTCATTGCTTCTGGTTTTCGTAGTACCCATGTCGCTCCTGGCATCGTTACGCATTTGTGAATGACTGGTCGAATAAATTATGTGCAACTGTGCAATATACATTTATATGCATATAATATTTAGGCATATAAGTAGCATAATTTTGTATTGTTTTGCTCAGCAAAAAGATTGCACCATGGTCATCTTCCCCCCACATGCTTTGCATGACATAAATTTTTATGGTATGTCGGATCTGCTAATTTTCTGTCTTTGGAGTTGGTGGCTTTACTATGTTATGAAGACAGTTTAAAAAAATTAGTGGAAGATCGAAGATTGGGAGGAAAAAATATACGTAAATGGGGGTTGTGTGCTCAAGCCGATGTTTCAACAAGTGGGCTTGTCTTCATCAAGGCTGGAGGTGTTTTCTGTAGTGTGTGTGTGTGCTTGGCACTCTTTCTTTCAGTTTGAACAAAGGGGGTGTAGAGAGCAACTGGGAGGGAAGAGCAATATTAACGAGAGACAAGCAAGCCATAGAAGTATGGAGGGCATTATTTGCAGTAATTTGCATTGGACGAAAAAATGACTTGCCACTGGGAGGGACCGAACCTGTGGCCTTTGAATAACTTGCTTGATGCTCTACCAACTGAGCTACAGCTATGGTCCTCTCTCCCCACCCACATTGAAAGGGGTATATATATATATAACCTGGCAGTGTTAGCCAACGCCAGTACTAGCCGTGATGGCGACTGTTGAATCTGCCTGCAAGCAAAAAAAGAAGAGTGTTCCGGAAAATGCACACCCAAACGTAAATAATATATTGTCACGGGACCTGGACGTGAATGAAGGGAGGAGACTCCAGGTTGAAGGAGAAACTGCTTATTTGGGCCGAACTTGTGGCCACGCAAAAGGAAAGTAAGACACTGGCACTGATAGCGGCGAAGAGAGTGTCGGCCGTCGATCAACTGACAAGCGGCGAAGCGTCTAGGAATTTATACACTTGCCATCGAACATTCTAGCGTTATCGCTAGGGGCGACGTAGGCTCCAAAATAATCTGAAAGGTTTATGAAGTGGGCGTAATCTTAACAAAACAATCTACTACAGCCTCGAAGCTTCTCTTACACCATAGGCACAATTCGCGCTGAATATAGTGTAATGGGGCAATAACAAAACTTGAGGAAAGGAACATGGCAATTTCCTTTGTAAGTATACTTTCCAATGCTTTCAAGCAACGAGCGACTTAGGAAAGCGTTTTCCGAAGTATCAAAGGTCATGTATCACCACAATAAGAGCATTAAGGACATCTTGGTGCATGCATTTTAAATCCGTATTTCATTTTTGACACATATTGACACATACTATTTTCGACACATACTACACATATTTTTGACACATATTTTTGACACATACTATTTCATTTTTGACACATATTGTAAGACACTCGATATGAGGCGTGATACAGGTCGAGTTGTCGATTACGTCATGAGTGAGGGTATCTTTAACATACATACTGATGCTACCACCCTGATTTGAATTCGCAAACTGTGGTGGGCTATCTTTTGGTGTCAGCCAAGATTCCATAATACACAAAACATGAAATTTGCTCTCAGAATTATTCAGGAACAGGCCGATGTCATTCGTTTTATTTTTAATGCTACGAGCATTTAGATGTAATGCAGTGAATTGTTTAGACAGCGCTTTGAAGACATGCAAAAGTTTATCTTGATCATAATATTGGTAAACTGAAGCATTGTCCATTTTGGGGTGATTAAGAAGCCCAGATTATCAGTTAATTATTAATGCATTTTATCTATATCTCCCGACAGTAGATTGCTAGTCTCTCCGATGTTTCCGATTTCCTCGAAAAGATTTTCCCTGCTTGCCCCCAAACAAATCGCCAGCCAAGTTCTCGTTTCTTAGCCACAACAGCACCAAGCAACTGTTTGCCCTGACGGGTTAAGTTTTCATTGAAAAAGATTGGTGCTGATGTCATGAAACCGATTTCTCTAGCCGAGGGCCTTACTTTTTTGGCTTTCATGAGAACGGCATTTCGTTTGTCACGTAGCACAACACGTACGTACAATGCTTCTAGTTCCTTCCTTACATATGCCCATCCTATGACAGGTGTCAATGTCAGCTTTCGTGATTGGTTCCTGGATTGAGGCACATACTTTTTTCGCAATGTCAAGTGGCTGTCCTTCATTTGGCGCACCTTTAATTTCAAGGTTGTTGGCAGGGGCATATTGTTCGAGCTCTTCCTCTTTTGTTTGTAATTGTCGATTTTCTGTCACAAGTTGCTTGTTTGCCTTCCGTGTTGTTGCTAGTTCCTCACGCAAAGCTTTCAGTTCCTGTGAGAGCAAATTGACATTGTCACAAGTCTAACTACAGTGATCATTGCTCTGTATGGTACCACGGAGCTCGGCCTGAATTTCTCTCTTAAAATCCTCGAATGCTTTGTTAATATCCTTCGACATGTGAGGGAACACAGGCACAGGACTTTGGCAGCAGTGCAAAAATCAACACTCTTAATAGTTTTAACAAGAGTAGTACAACCTGCATGAAAAAATATACATTATCAGGCAATGTGAAGTCATTGCACATTGCCGCCAAACTGGAAGATCACCCGGTGGGTGGTCCGTTCATATATGCAGGGGCCAGAAGTTGCGTGACATGTGCAAAGGCAGTGTCCTTACCTCCACCAACAGCAGCTGATGCAGCAGGCGACCGACGGATCTGATCGCTTTTTTCCTTCAAAATGCAGTTTTGCAGTGAACACCTCAATCAAGCTGCATGAAAAAATATACAGTATCAGGCCATGTGAAGCTGTTGCCCACTGCCACCAAACTTGAGTCCTAATTCAGTGAGACTTCTGTTCCAATACATAGTCATACCTTATTCACAGGTTCAATACACTCTATCCAGCAGGTGTAAACACTTATTGAATTGAATCAATTCTGATGTGTTACATGCACAAAAAAAGACCTATAGAAGTTACTAAGCCCTCCTAGCAATTTCCAACCTACCATTGTTGAATGGTGCTCTTTGGCAAACACAGTTCTATTAAACATCTAACCTCCCTTCTCTTGTTCTCTCTCTTTCTTTTATTCAAGGAATACCACTTCCCTTTGACTAAATACCACTTCCCTTTGACTAACTCAGTTCGTCACGGTGCCCTCTCTCCCGCAGTTTCCCCCTCTCTCTTCTTTGATTAGATCTGAGGAGAGAATTCGAAGCATGTGACACACAAGCGCTAAGGGAACTAGTTCCAGCCTTGACGTAGAAATGTCTATTCGTCGAAAGGTTCACTTGATTTTTTCATGATAAACTAGCCTCGCGGCACTTATTTAATGTCAATATGTGGTGGCCCATTGCATTTATTTGACCTGCTGGCATGTTGTTTGAAGAGCAGGGTGCTGAGCAAATTTGTCATCTTAAGTGAAGGTGCTCTGTGAGGCACATGAATGGAAAAGTATGCAGGGGAGAGAGAGAAAGCTTTTTTTTTTGTGCAACCTGTTCTTGAAATTTGTTTGTGCCCAGCATAGAACGCCACTGTGAGCTGATGCATACACATTTGAGTGCAGTGGGTCCATGTGCTCTGGACTACTCCAAGATGAAGACACAAGATCACTTCTGGACAGACCCACCAGCCGATGAGTTGGTGCAGCGCCATCGGCTGTCCAGTGGGCTTCCTGCTTCGGCCAGTGCTGGGGGCACGACAGGCACACCACCACCCACAAGGCGACTGGGCCTTCAGGTGCGTTCAGGGGGCGTCTATTGGGGGGGGGGGGGGGTGGCACTGAAAAGGCCGAGCCGCTCGCAGCTGTGTCATAGCAGAGTGAAAAAGTTGAAGGCACCTTCGATTTTAGCTGTTCAGCTTTCTTTGTTCTGCTTCATTTATATTTGTTTTTTGCTTTCTCTTTATGTGTTTCTTTCTCAATAAGCATCTAGATTGGGCTAATTTGTACAGATACATCTTTGTGGGAAGTGTAAAATTACACACGGACAGCAAAAAAGAAAGACGCGACACAAGCACTTAATGTAAACTAAGCGCTTATTTGGAAAAAGGAATACATACAGGAAAACCTTCCTAACTTGAAGTCACTGGGACCGTGAGAAATCTTCAAATCAAGCGGGTTTTTGAATTAACAGAACATACAAAAAGTGGATGCAAAGAACTTGAAGTTATTCAAAGTAATCAGGGATGGTCGTTTGCTGTGCCGGCTAGTTTGCGGCTCGAAGGGTTATGTTTGCCAGCAATATCTGGTCAAAGTTTTGCTGCAAAGAAGTGGAAATGCCGGGCCTCGCTGCTGACAATGCAAAAAAAGAAAAAAAGGTGAACAACTGAAATCCACACCTGCAAAAAACAAGACATCTTCACTGCAATACAATAGTGACACGCAGGCAGCATGTCGCTTGCCCCCGCGACCATTCACCCATTTTTTCTCGTAAAATAAAGAATTTAATTCTGGACATTGTGGTGAAATTTGCAATGTGTTTGGGCTGCAAAACATCACCATTCAAGCTTTCGAAGCGAGTTTTTAAAGTAGGTGTTGCAGGCAAGAACACCACCAGCAGTTGCTCGAGCAACCGGCACTCGCAGGTTTGCATACATTGCGAATTCTGCCAGACTCTCCTTGATCATTTTCTTTATGTATTCCCAGATAGAATGAATAAATCATGACGCATTGACGTTTTGAGAAGCATACGATAGCTGCCTGCGCATCACTGCTGTGTTGCAGTGAAGCATGTCTTGTTTACCGCAGGCCACAGTGTAAGAGTAGTTTAGGTGAAAGAACCGCGCATACCGGTGGCATAGTGAGGAGAGTCACATGCTGTTCTGGTTAGGGAGCTCCTCCAGAGAAGGCGCGCTAAACTAGCCACCAACCTCTTGCTTGCTGCCCCGCCGCACGCACCTTGCAGTCCTGTCTCTCAACCCTGCTTCACGTCGAAAATGTGATTTGTGTTTGTGAACATGTTTGCGTAATTTAGTGTGCTTCACGATAGGTAAGTGCTTTGTATCTTACTGCAATACCGGCTATAAGTTGTGTAAAGAAAAGTTTTCACATTTTACGCCACCGCACGACGAAGCCCGGCTTGAAGCGTGGAGGCTGGTGATCCCTCGCAAGAACCGCATGATTCAACGGACAGACCGTGTGTGCGAAAAACATTTTTTATTTGGAAAACGTGGTCTGCAAAAATGAATGACCACGTTCTGATGTCTGGCAACAGAAGAGCAGGACTTTCAAAGGACGCCCTGCCAACTATTTTTAAAGGAGCGCCTAGTTGCTTGTCGAAGAAGATCGAAAACAGTTGAAAACAAACTCGAAAACAGTCACAGTTCGAAAACAGTCAAACTTGAAAACAGTCAGTTCGAAAACTCAAAAACAGTCAAGGCGGCATGCTTGAAAGTAAAGACTTTCATGTTCTAGAGTCAGCATCTAAGTGGCTTGATAGCTGGGAGCAGGAAGTTGTGAGGGGTGATATTCACAAAAATCTTTTTTTAACGCAGTCTACTGCTGAAGGCCTGCGTGTTACACTTTAGTCTTTTTAGGAGCTGTCAGCATTTCTTATGAAAGAGTGTGAGTTCAAGTATGTCCTGAAAGCCAAAATGAACCAGAATTCGTTGGAATGCTTGTTTGGTATCATAAGACAAGCAGGGGGCTAAAATGAGCATCCAACATTTCCGACATTTTTGCAATTGTACCGCATGCTTTCCTTGTATTTTTTGCTTAAGCCACCGCAGTTTGGTAACTGTGTAGTTTCTGAGAAAAAAAAATAGTCTGCTTTTCTGACCCTGAGCGATTTCAAAGAAGTGTGCCAATCTGCACCTTTCCAGCACACTGATAAAATGCATGAACTGAAGGAGAAACTAGGTGGCCTCATCAGTGAGGAAACGCGGGAATGCGATGAGGTGTGTGACCATGATCATTCAGATGCTGCCGTCGTAGACTGCATTGTATATTATGTCACTGGATTTGTGTCACGAAAGTTTGCCACTCAAACTTTCTGTACAATTTGTAAGGATGCTTTAATTCGGCAGAAAGATATTTTAAAGCTACCAGAAGCCGACTTGGTAAATTGCAAAACTAGAGGGGGGCTGCCCACACATCTGAATGTGCATGTGTTCCTTCTTTTCAAAGAGGCTGAGGAGCACTTCGCAAAACACGCTGGTGAGAGAGATGTATATGATCGCACAACAGATGCAGTGCTTGGAAATTTCACCTTCACGTTTCTATGTGCTGCTCATCAAGAAAATGTTCTTTGCACTATTATGTGTGCCTACGCATGCGACAGTATTGCAGACAGCTAAAGAATAAGCATGTAAAAAAGAACCAAGACTTGCATAAGTCGTCGAAACTTGTATAATTCATTGCTTCAGGAGAAGAGAGATGTGTATGTGTAATATGTTATGTGTGCAATAATGCTTATTATACTGTGATCAGGGCATGCTGTGATGTAACCTTTTTTGTGGGTATGTAATGTGTTTCATTTATAAATGTACTACTGCTCCATTTTAAATAAATGACATTCAGGATTGCCACCCATACAAATATGTGCATGCGTGTCGTGAAGAATAGGAGTCATAAAGAATATTAAAATGTGTGTACATGAGAAAGCGTCGAATTTTGATTGTCGAATTGATTGATTGATTGTCGAGTTGTGATAATTCACAAGCCGCTTTTTGGCCAAGATGTAGTTAGTGTTTTATGTCTATTTCTTTAACTCATTAAATTTCTCTCGAGCTTATCACCAACGCTCATGTTATCACATCGCATAATAAAGCCCTCATGAGAGGCGTAAAATAACTGAATGTAACTGCACGTACTCTTGACCGCCTACGACCATGACCAGGGCAAGCATAAATATTGGGAACATTCTTTTACGTGATATTTGGTGTTGGAGAGACCTCCGGCCACCTCCGTAAATAGTAATATCGGTCAGAAAATTGGAACATTGCCGAAGACGCGCTGCTTGGCCGTGCTACATAAACCTGAATGCTGTATGCTTGATGAATTCAATCATACGATGTTATGAGGCAGAACGGTCAACGAACATATTTAATTGAACGATCTGTTTTATAAAAGCCGCATTCGGTGCCATAGCCAGGCCAAACTGCTTCTTACACACCGAGCCTCAGCTAAAGTGGCTCTGAGCTCTGCCTGCTCTGCTGTGCCGAAAGGGCATTAGTTGCTAGCGCCATCTGTTGTCGGACTTGAGAAGCAGGGCTTCGTCACGAAGTGAAGAGCGGGGGTGTTCTCTCAACTAAACTACTCTTACATTGTGCCGCAGGCGCACATTTTAGTTGACTGTTTTTTATATAATTTTATTTTTGGTGCTGGAAGTAGCGAGGCAGGGGTGCTTCAGCTGCCACTCATCAATATCGCTATGTTGCATCGCCTTGTGACTCTGTAGGGTCGTCGTTTCCGCGGAGTTGCGGCGAAATCGGGATCTGAAATTGGCACACTGCACCCAAAGTTTTTGAATTAACCAAGCTGGTGCTGACCGCCGCTTCAAATTATCCGCTCAAACTTGCGCTGCAAAATACAGAACTGTTGAAATACTTCGAATTAAGCAGGATTTTGAAATAACCGAGTTCGATTTAACGAGTTTTTACTGCATATGAGTGAGACAAGGAAAACAAAAAAACCACCAAAGAAACCCATGTGTCATGCCAGTCATCATCCATTACTGCCAAACCCACCATCCAAAAAGGGAAGTTCTTTCTGCATAAGGGAGGCAGACGGTGTGCAGACACAATCAAAATCATCACGTTTCCTTTCTGCAGCTTCAACTACCAATATAGTTAACAATATCTCTGTCACGATATAAAATATAAGTGTTATCAAAGTATGGCACCCCACCACAATCGTTGCCAGGCAACCATCTGCGGACTTGTGCACCTTATTAGTTTCATGTTTTCTCACTTGCTCATTTGTTCACCTCTCAGTTTGCCCAACATATGAACGGCCACATGTCAAAGGTAATCTGTACACGGCAGCCTGTGCGCAGGGAATATATTCAACACGATGATTGCTATTGCTACATTTTTTTTCCCTCTTTCAAAACAGGGCAAGTTTCACGACACAGTTTTGACAGTTTTTCTCGTGCAGACGTAATCACCTTTATGCCATATTTATTTCCAATACACTTAAAAATTATGTGCTACACTGTGGGTGTGAGGAATAACCGCACTCTTCTGCTGCTGCTGCTGCTGGTCATGCACAGAACATAAATGTGTGCCCATTCGTCGCTTCACACAGACAAAAAAAAAAACGCAAAAAGCAATGCAAGGAAAGCAAAATACCAAAAGTGGCTCAACCCATTCAGGTACAATATTTCTGTGAGCTGCAAGGCAGTAGATTTATTTATTTATTTATTTACATTTCACCTACATCGCCGTGAGGCATTACGTAGGGGAGGTACACATAATAATTTGACCACATAGTTTTCAATCGAAACAGTAGATTCAATAAATAAAACAGCGCTCAAAATATTTTAAGAGAAGAAAAAAAAACACTCGAATATTGGTGAGCGAAAACAACGTCATGCATTTGTAAACGCCCACACGCTTCGAGACAGCAAACCATTCTTAGTGGCAGTGATATTGTAGGAGTTGTTACAAGGAAGAAAAAACGGATTCATTATCAGTTTCATTGACAAGATGATCCGGTAGACGGTTTCATTCCTGTATTGTTTTTACGAAAAAAGAACTACCGAAAGAGTGGGTTTTGTAGCGGTATTCTAATATTTTTC